TACCGAAAAAAACGGTTTTCGCCTACACAGTATGCTTCTCAGTCGAATACAGAAAGTAGGCAGGAGCATTAGAGATGTGAAGACGAAGATTCAGTCCATCACCCTTATAGTCTGTAGAATTTGAGGTTGTCAGTCCTCGGCCTGGAGAAGTTCCGTTCCATAGTCAGGACCTATTCTGAAGATCAAGCGACAGTGCGGAGACTTAAATACTTTCGGAAGGAGAGGTGCAGGGTATTAGTAGTTAGGAGAAGTAGTAGTAGTGAGAGGCAACTGAGTAAGGTCATGTCCCTCTCAGATCAACCCTTCTCACATTAAAACTGTCAATGAGTTTTCCTGTACCAAGATGCCACGTGTTGCAGTGTCTGACCAGAGAACAATCAAAATGGTAATATACATACCGACAGGTTTGTAAGTACGACACATAGCACACAGTTAGGACACTTTAATCCGAACGTTTCGCCTACCACATTAAGGCTTCTTCATCTAATACAGAAAGTAGGGGCTAGGAGCAGTAAGATGATGTGAAGACGATGAAAATCAGTCCATCCACCCATAAAGTCGTAGAATTTGAGGTTGTCATCCCTCGGCCTGGAAAGTTCAGTTCCATAGTCAGAACTACTGAAGATCACTAACAGTGCGGAGACTTAAATACGACGGCAGGAGTGGTGCAGGGTAGTAGTATGGTAGTAGTAAAGGTGATAGGCAACTGAGAGTCATCCCTCTCCAGATCCAACCCTTCTCACTGCAAGCTTGTCCCAAGGTGTTTTTTCTGTACATGATGCCACGTGTTGCAGTGTCTGACAAGATGAACATCAAAATGGGTATTACAATACCGACAGGTGTTAGTAGAGACACATATGCAACAGTTAGACTTTTTATTTCCGAAACGTTTGCGCCGTAACAGTTAGGGCTTCTTCATTCGAATACAGAGAAAGTATGGCAGGAGCAGTAGTGTGTGAAGAAACGATGTAATCAGTCCATCACCCTTAAAGTCCGTAGAATTTGAGTGTCAGTCCCACGGCCTGGATAGTTCAGGTATCCATAAGTCAGTAACTATCTGAAGATCAAGCGACAGTGCGGAGACATAAATACTGTCGGAGGAAGGTTGCAGGTAGTAGTAGTGGTAGTAGAGTATTGAGAGCAACTGAGAGTGCATGTCCCTCTCAGAGTCCAACCTCTCATCTTGAAAAGCTTGTCCAGGTGTTATTTCTGTACCAAGATGCCACGTTGGTTTTGCAGTTGTCTGAACAAGATGAACATCAAAATGGTTATATACAATACCGACACAGGTTGTTATGTAAAGACACATATGCAACAGTGTAGACATCTTTATTTTCCTAAACGTTTTCGCCTACATCAAGTAGGCTTCTTCAGTCGAATACAGAAAGTAGGACAGGAGCGATATAGATGTAACGATGTAATCAGTCCGCACCCATACAGTCCGTAGAATATGAGGTTGTCAGTCCCTCGGCCTGGAGAAGTTCTAGTTCCATAAGTCATGAACTATCTGAAGATCAAGCGACAGTGTGGGCGGAGACTTAAATACTGGTCGGATGAGAAGGTGGCAGGTTAGTAGTAGTGGTAAGGTGTAGAAGTGAAGGCAACTTAGAGGTCATTGTCCCTCTCAGATCCAACCCTTCTCACTTGAAAAGCTTGTCCAAGGTGTTTTCTGACAAGATGCACACGTGTTGCAGTGTCTGACAAGATGAACATCAAAATGGTAAATACAATACCGACAGGTTGTTTAGGTAAGACACATATGCAACAGTTAGACATCTTATATTCCGAAACGTTTCGCCTACACAGTAGGCATCTTCAGACGAATACAGAAAGTAGGCAGGAAGCAGTAGAGATTGAAGACGATGTAATCATTCATCACCCTTAAGTCGTAGAATTGAGTTGTCAGTTCCCTCGGCCTGGAGAAGTCAGTTCCATAGTCAGGAACTATCTAAGATTCAAGCGAGACCAGTGCGGAGACTCAATACTGTCTGAAGGAGAGGTGCAGGTAGTAGTAGTGTAGTAGTAGTAGTGAGGCAACTGAGAGGTCATGTCTCTCCGGAACCAACCCTTCTCCACTTGGAACCTAGTCCAAGGTGTTTTCTGTACCAAGATGCCACGGCTTTGCAGTGTCTGACAAATGAACATCAAAATGGTATACATAAACCGACAGGTTGTTAGGTAAGACGACAAATGCAGCAGTTAGTACATCTTTAATACGAACGATTTTTCGCGCTACACAGTAGGCTTCTTCATCGAATACAGAAAGGTATGCAGGAGCAGTAGATATGTGAAGACGATGTAATCAGTTCCATCACCCTTAAAGTCGCAGTAGAATTTTGAGGATGTTCATCCCTCGTCCTGGAGAAGTTCAGTTCCATAGTCAGGTAACTATCTGAAGATCAACACATGCGAGACTTAAATACAGTCGGAAGGAGAGGTGCAGGTAGTATTAGTGGTAGTAGTAAGTAGTGGAGATGCCAACTGAAGTGTTATGTGTGGAGGTCATTGAGTCCCTCTCAGATCCAACCCTACTCACTGGACTTGAAAGCTTGACCCAAGGTGTTATCTGTCCAAGATGCCACGTGGTTGCAGAGTGTCAGACAAGATGAACATCAAAGATGGATATACAGATACCGACAGGTTTGTTATGTAAGAACACATATGCAACAATTTAGACATCATTTATTCCGAAACGTTTCGCCTACACAGTAGGCTTCTTCATTCGAATTACGAAAGTTAGCAGGCGCAGTAGAGATGTAAAAATAACGAAGTAATCTTCCATCACGCCGTAAAGTCGTAGAATTTGAGGTTGTCATTATGTCCCACGGCCTGGAAATTCAGTCCAAAGTCAGGAACTATCTGAAGATCATCGACAGTGCGGAGACGTTAAATACTGTCGGAAGGAGAGGTGCAAGGTAGTAAGAGTGGTAGTAGTAAAGAAGTGGGGGGGTGATGAATGTTGCAGCGAGGAGAAGGCTGGGGGCAGTGGAGATGTCATGTCTGAGAGCAATGTGTGGTGTGAATATAATGCAGAGAATTCGTAGTTTGAAGTTAGGAGGAGGTGCAGGATTACCAAAACTGTTGTCCAGAGGGCTGAGGAAGGGTTGTTGAGGTGGTTCGGACATGTGGAGAGAATGGAGCGAAAAGAATAACTTCAAGAGTGTATCAGTCTGTAGTGGAAGGAAGGCGGGGTAGGGTCGCCTAGGAAAGGTTGGAGGGAGGGGGTAAAGGAGGTTTTGTGTGCGAGGGGCTTGGACTTCCAGCAGGCATGCGTGAGCGTGTTTGATAGGAGTGAATGGAGACAAATGGTTTTTAATACTTGACGTGCTGTTGGAGTGTGAGCAAAGTAACATTTATGAAGGGGTTCAGGGAAACCGGCAGGCCGGACTTGAGTCCTGGAGATGGGAAGTACAGTGCCTGCACTCTGAAGGAGGGGTGTTAATGTTGCAGTTTAAAAACTGTAGTGTAAAGCACCCTTCTGGCAAGACAGTGATGGAGTGAATGATGGTGAAAGTTTTTCTTTTTCGGGCCACCCTGCCTTGGTGGGAATCGGCCAGTGTGATAATAATAATAATAAATAACACAGCACTAATAACTTAAAGGTAGTAGATAGAGGCAAGACTACATACACTATTATGGCCGGGGACAAAGTCTACCTCACGTTACATAAAGAGGACTGAAACAGCTGTAAGCTGTAAGCTGAGGTGAAACAGCTGTAAGCTGCCTTCTTTCTTATGTACAACACTGAGGTGAAACCAAGGCACTTCGACACTCTCTAAATGACTCTTATTATCTCCTGTCATCTTGTGATGTAGTTCAGCTGATCGTCTCACTCATACGCCCAACAAACTATCACATTACCAAGTTCATCACCTCCATCCATCAAGTGACTGGACGAGTTAGAGAAGCATTCATATGAGACCTCTGCTGTTCCTGATGTCGTTTTTATCTATTTGCCCATATATCTACCTCGGCCAGTGTCTCGGACTCAAGACCAGTGTGAAGAACAAAAATGCACAATACTGTGACTGGAACAATACACAAGTAACCTGTGACTAATTATGGGTTCAAGTCGGACCCAAACATCAATTACTCATTGCTATGTGATGGTTACTGTGTATAAGACCAGTGTGTTATCAGCTGAATGTTAATTAAATGTCGAAGCTGTCGAGCTGAATGTCGAGCTGAATGTTGTGACAACTGAGATGAAATATTTATTATTGAAAATGTTTCGTCTTTCTTCATTATTTCTGTTATTTCTAAAAATGTGAGAATGTTATATACACTTCTAAGGCAAACAAATTGTTTACAAAGCTCTTATTTATATTGTTATCGGTCAGACTAATAAATTTTTTATGTGCTGTAAAGAAGCTCTGTGACACTGCATGACTGGAATGTTGCTGACAGACTGTGCAAAGCATGACTGGAATGTTGCTGACAGACTGTGCAAAGCATGACTGGAATGTTGCTGACAGACTGTGCAAAGCATTGACTGGAATGTTGCTGACAGACTGTGCAAAGCATGACTGGAATGTTGCTGACAGACTGTGCAAAGCATGACTGGAATGTTGCTGACAGACTGTGCAAAGCATGACTGGAATGTTGCTGACAGACTGTGCAAAGCATGACTGGAATGTTGCTGACAGACTGTGCAAAGCATGACTGGAATGTTGCTGACAGACTGTGCAAAGCATGACTGGAATGTTGCTGACAGACTGTGCAAAGCATGAATGTTTAACATGAAGGTAAATATCCATTGAAGACGTTGACTTTGATGTCAAAGAATATTTTTTTATTTAAAGAACTGAAGCCATTTATTTTCTCTTCAATTAAAACAATGATAAACCTCCTTATTATCCAGGTGCTTTATTATCCTTCTGGGTTTGTTACTTATCTATAAATATAATAAATAATAAAGTAATTTAAGTGTTGGTGAGGACAACAAACATAAATTGCATTCCTCTTAACTTAGAGATAATATAATGTAAATATTTACTCACTGGTGACGGTGTAAGGAAAGCCGAGGCCACAGTATCTGTCTGCTGGGAATGTTGTAATATCGTTAGCATACATAGTGTACCTGCCTCCAGGAATGACCACGTAGTCTGTCGTACAGTCTTCGTTCCGACTGTTAGCTTCGAAGGTACCTGTGTAAAATCTGAATTAAGTCTGACATTCTCTGAATCTGACAGTAAAATCTACTTGCTGAGGTCGATGAAATTTACTGTTCTTGAGATAACTTGAAAGATTAATTCCTATATTATGCTAAAAGAGTTAGTACATTGTTTTCTTCATTATATAATACAACTAGAGTGTGTCTGTGTCTGTCTGTCTGTCTTACCAATTAAATATGGAAGCAGAGTATTTGTATCTCCAGAGAGTGTAAAACTATAGTCGCCGTCGTTGGTATTACGGTCATAAATGATGCCACAGTAGTCGTCAGCTCTCTTGATGCACACACCGTAGTCCTGGTTGGCCAGCTGCACTATTTCTGCACCTATGGGATGGGTGAAGTTTGATATGAGGAAAGAAATATACATATATTCAATAGAGTATATATATGTGGGATTAATAAAAAAAAGTGCTAAACCAACTAGGGTCATACAGCGCTGCAGGGCAGGTGTAGCTGAATAATTTTAGAGTACCAAGGGTGGAAAAAATAAAGGTCGAGTTAAAAAGGGCCGTGAGGAAGGATTACCAAAGGTGTGTAATAAATTCGTTGCAGTTAAAAAGTTAAAGGGAGAGTCTGTGTCAAAGGTGGGGCCATCAGCGAGGAGGGAAGTCAAAGTAAGGCTGTTAGAGCGGTGACGACGTCGGAGGTAAATTTTCCGTGTTCGTTGATATACAGGAAAGTCCAACAGAATGTGGCAAACTGAAAATGGAACCTGACAATTCTCACAGAGTGGAACAGGGCGCCTCTTCATGAGATACCCGTAAGACGGGTGTGCCCAGTGCAAAGACAGGAGAGCATTGTCTCCCTGCCTCGGCAACGATGACAAGGCCAGAAAGCTAAACTTGGTTTGATAGAATGTAATTTGTTATGAGTCATATCAGACCAATGTTGCTGCCAACATATGCAAAGGAGGTTAGAGATTACAGCAAAAGAGTCCAAGAATGGAATACTTCTATATGAAACTGGGAGACTGTGCACTCTAGATCGTGCAGCAAAGTATGCCTGCTCATTGCCCTGAACATCAACAGGGACCCAGCAGAAAATTATTTCTTTATTTCTGCTAGTAATGCAACGCAACCAAAGTTGTATACGAAGAACTAGGTGAAGAGGTGAATCCAATCTTAATAGCTTGCAAAGCACTAAAGGAGTCTGAGACAATTACAAACGTTGAAGTAGGCATATATACAATACAGATAGTTGCAACTAGAAATGCATACAATTCAGCTGTAAAAATGCTTGAAGAGTCTAATAAATGAACTTGCACTATGCTGTCCGGGAGCACTGCTGCAAACCTAACACCATCAGAGGATTTAGAACCATCAGTATGCACTGAAATTGCATGAGGATGAGACTATAGGTATCCTGGCTTTCGCGTACAGCAGTGGGGAAGAACAGACACAAGCTGTTGGAACCTCCCGAGGGAGAAGTGAGAAGCTAGATGAACATATAAAGGGGGCAACTGAAGAGAAGAAAAGAGCGAGCAAAGACAAAGGGAAAAGAGACGGAGCAAATAGGGGCGGCAAACAAATAATGGACTTTATTAACGTCCATTACTATCCTATAAGTATACAAGGATCGTGAAGGTCATGAGAGCGGACAAAACAGTAGAGGCAATGAGCATCACGATGATCGTTCAAGGATGGAACATTTGCCTCTGCACAGAGGCTCTCGACAGGTGAGGAGCGAAAAGCACCTAGACAAACGTAATCTCTGGTGATGGATGGGATCAAGTTTAGAAGGAGTTGCAGGAGCGACCACAGAATATATCTCGTCACCATAATTTAGCATTGGTAAAATTAAGGCTGAATACACTCCAAGGAGAGTTCGACGATCCGCCTCCCATCAAAGATGAGCGAGGGTTTCAAGAAGGTTAAGATAAGATAAGATAAGATTTCGTTCGGATTTTTAACCCTGGAGGGTTAGCCACCCAGGATAACCCAAGAAAGTCAGTGCGTCATCGAGGACTGTCTAACTTATTTCCATTGGGGTCCTTAATCTTGTCCCCCAGGATGCGACCCACACCAGTCGACTAACGCCCAGGTACCTATTTACTGCTAGGTGAACAGGACAACAGGTGTAAGGAAACGTGTCGAAATGTTTCCACCCGCCGGGAAATCGAACCCGGGCCCTCCGTGTGTGAAGCGGGAGCTTTAGCCACCAGGCCACCGGGCCACCAGTCGGTTATGGCAAGTTGCTTTCAAGGAGGCAATGTGAGGTTTCCAGGACAACTGGCAATCAAACAGAAGACCGAGAAATCAGACAGTATCAGGATGAACGATACGTGAGCCATATAGGTAGAATGGAGTATCAGGGACAACAGAACGTCTGGTGAAAGTAATATGGTGTGTTTTAGCACTAGAAAAATTTAAACCCATGAATAGTGGCCCAGAGAGAAACATGGTTGACAGCATTCTTTAGTGAGGCAGTTACTAGGCGACAGTGAGCGCCTGCACAAGCTATAAGGAAGTCATCATCATAAAGTGATGGCCGAATATTAGGTTGGAGAACAGAGGCTAGATCATTTACAGCAAGTAGAAAAAAAGAGTGGTGCTAAGGACACATCCCTTAAGGACACGTGCAGCTTGGACAAAGTCCAGGGAAAGCAAATTATTAATCCGAACAAGGAAATGTCTCTTAGTTAACAGGTTTTTAAGGAAAAATGGCAGATTGCCTCGGAGGCCTAAGGAAGGAGCCTAGGCCACGATGTTATATCTCCAGGTAGTGTCATATGCCTTATCATCATCATCAAAAAAAATGGAATAACTGAGTGGTTTTTAAGCGGATTAAGGGGTCAATAGTAGAGCAGCCATTACGAAAGCCATATTGACGAAGGGAGAGATTATTGTCTCTCTAAATACCACATTAAGCGTCTATTACTAGATGTTCCATCACCTTTCATACTGCACTGGTAAGAGCAATGGGACGATAGTGTGAGGTATCATGTCCTGAAGTACCTGGTTTACATATAGAACAATGACGGATTTCCACAGCTGGGGAAGAACTCCTTGCGACCAAATAAGATTAAATAGAAGAAAGAGGACAACAAGGACTATGGGATGTAAGTATTGGAGCATACGAATGTGAATGCCGTCAGTCCCAGTTGCTAATGATCGACAAACGGAAAGTGTTGACTCTTGTTCTAAAAGTGTAAAAGGCACATTATAAGACCCTTCTCCGCTAGAAGAAAAATTTAAGGGCAGTAACTCTCTGGGAGATTTGGAGGAAAGAAACGAAGGGCATAGATGGAGCCCTTGAGAGATACAGACAAGATGATAAGGGGTCTCCATGGCAACTTCAACTGGGTTTGCAACACTGACACCGGCAACCTGAAGAATGGGAGCCGGGTCGGGAGAGTACTTGCCACTCAATTTTCGTAAGTTTTTCGAAACTGTATTCATAGAGGAAGCCGAAGGGAAGGTGTAAACATAATCCTGTCAACAACTACGTTTAGAGTCACGGATGACATGTCGGACGACCGCTCTCGCCAGCTTCAAATCGAGGAGTCACTCTGTGGAATTACTGTAACGATATCTGCCAAATGCAGCACTTTCACACGTACTGCACGAGCACGAGCAGGAGACAACCATGGCACGCATTTCTGAGAATGCCTGTTCAGGGTCTGAGGTATAGAATATGAAGCTGTGGTTAAAACTGGGGTTGAAAATAGGTATAACAGTTCATCAGTAGAGAACGAAGGTCCCTCACTACAAGCAGTTTAGCGTGGGTTAAGGTCACAATTCGCTTGTTCAAGTTTCCAACATTAAAATGGTATAAAATACCGACAGGTTGTTAGGTAAGACACATATGCAACAGTTAGGTATCTTTATTATGAAACGTTTCGCCTACACAGTAGGCTTCTTCAGTCGAGTACAGAAAAGTTGATAGAAGCAGAAGATACTTGAAGACGATGTAATCAGTCCATCACCCTTAAAGTTTTGAGGTGGTCAGTCCTTCAGTCTGGAGAAGAGCATTGTTCCATAGTATGAAACAATATGGAGATGAAGTGACAGGATGGAGCTTATATAGCGCCAAGAGGTGAGATGTAGGCCACTACATCTCACCTCTCCTAGTGGCCTACATCTCACCTCTTGGCGCTATATAAGCTCCATCCTGTCACTTCATCTCCATATTGTTTCATACTATGGAACAATGCTCTTCTCCAGACTGAAGGACTGACCACCTCAAAACTTTAAGGGTGATGGACTGATTACATCGTCTTCAAGTATCTTCTGCTTCTATCAACTTTTCTGTACTCGACTGAAGAAGCCTACTGTGTAGGCGAAACGTTTCATAATAAAGATACCTAACTGTTGCATATGTGTCTTACCTAACAAGTTTCCAACGTTGGCTTCGAGAAGGGTGAGAATATGAATGGGAAGGAGGATAGGAAAATGATTGCTTTCATGTAAATCTGGGAGCAAAGACCAAGTAAAGTCAAGTGAGCTGACTAGTCATGAAGATTGGGGAAGGGCAAAGAAGACCGCAAACGGAGTACAATCTAGGGATGCCAGAGACAACAAATCTCACTTAAGGAAAAGGATCCTGTGGTGAGTATAACACCAGGCACATCTGAAGTGCACATCAACCAAATAACTGCTGCAGCATACGGACGCTTAGCAAACCTAAGAACAGCATTTCGACATCTTAATAAGAAATTGTTCAGGACTCTGAACACTGTGTACGTTAGATCTATTTTGAAGTATGCAGCACCAGTTTGGAACCCTCACCTAGCCAAGCATGTAAGGAAACTAGAGAAAGTGCAAAGGTTTGCAACAAGACTAGTCCCGGAGCTAAGGGGTATGTCCTACGAGGAGAGGTTAAGGGAAATTGACCTTACGACACTGGAGGACGGGAGAGATAGGGTGGATATGCAAACGGCACATAAAATACTGAGAGGAATCGACAAGGTGGACAGAGACAGGATATTCCAGATTTGGGACACAGCAACAAGGGGACACAGTTGGAAGTTGAAGAGTCATGAATCACAGGGATGTTAGGAAGTATTTCTTCAGTCACAGAGTTGTCAGGAAGTGGAATAGTCTGGAAAGTCATGTAGTGTAGGCAGGATCCATACATAGTTTTAAGAAGCGGTATGATACAGCTCATGGAGCAGGAAGAGTGACCTAGTAGCGACCAGTGAAGAGGCGGGGCCAGGAGCTGTAACTCGACCCCTGCAACCACAACTAGATGAGTACACACACACACACACACACACACACACACACACACACACACACACACACACAAACACAGACATACACACACACAGACACACACACAGACACAGACACACACACACACACACACACACACACACACACACACACACACCACACACACAAACACACACACACACACAGACACACACACACAGACACACACACACAGACACACATACACACACACACACACACACACACACACACACACACACACACACACACACACACACACACACACACACACGTACTTAAAATCTGACTTTCTAAAAATTATCCCTCAGATCGACTAAATTCTTGTCTTGACTTCGAAGTCCTTTTTTGTGCTGTCTTTTAGAGCTCGGTTTCCTGAGTTTGCAGATGAAATATTGAAAATTAATGACAAGATAGATGAATGACACGGCTTTCTTTTTCTTTCACGCAAAGGAATAGTGTAATAATGTTGGAAGTTACAATATGTTATGCAAAACAACACTTAAGCAATTAATATAACATTTTATTGTGGCAACGTTTCGCTCTCCAGGAGCTTCGTCAAGCCATAACAAACAATAAAAGGACACAGATGTATATAGATAAAAATATAAGGTGATAAAGAATAAGAACAAAATGCCTTGAATCATATTTAATCGGAGAGTCAAGTACCGTCATCTCCGACGTATTAGCGAGAGTCATCAACAAAACAATGATCCCCACAATCACGTAGCAACCAAAAGTTACGTCCATTACTACTACTACAGCTATTGCTATTACTACTTCCAATCCTCCTATTATTACTATACTTCTACTGCTATTAATGCTACTCATAATACCACTGCTATTATTACTGCTAGTACTAGTTACTGCTGCTACTGATACTAATTACTATGACTACTACTAATGCTCTTGCTGCTACTATTACTACTACTGCTAATACTAGTACTAATACTACTACTGATACTGCTCCTGCTACTGGTACTATTTACTACTATTGCTAATACTACCATTACTAATACTTTTGCTACTACTACAAATACTACTACTGCTGATGTTACTGCTGCTGTTACTACTACTACTACTATTACAAATACTAATGCTGCTACTACTACCAATGCTACTATTGCTTATACTACTAGTGCTCATACTACTACTACTGCTACTTCTACTACTAACACTATTACTACTATTACTACTAAACCAAAACAGTGTTACAAACAGCTATATTCATTTTCAGTTCAGCTGAAATTGATGTGTAGGTCAACTGGTTTTATCAAACCTTGGTGTGGGAGATGCAGATTGATTTCGCTGATAATTCTTTATCTGTGATGACATCGTTAGAAGGGACGTTCGGGGACAGTGAGATAATGTCAACCAACGTTACGTGTTCATTATTTATATTGGCGTCAGGAATGTATAATTGAAGGATCCTGAGTGTTTTAAGTATTTGGAGCAGATAAACCCAAGAGAGCCAGGACAGTTGCTTAGCGAGGAGTTCTTCTATTCTGTGTAGGGCATTTCCTATGCTTGAGGTAAAGGATTATAGAGGCACGTGTCTTGGGAAGTCTGTATATTAGGCAAGTCTATTGGATTATTCCTGTTACAAGCATATTTATGTTCGTTGATCCTAGTAGATTTCTTGCAATCTCTTCCATGTATTTTATCACATCCTCCACACGGGATGTTACAGATACCGGAGGACACTGGGAAAGGGCAGTATGCCACTTTCTGACAGTTCTTGAAGGACATGGTAGCTCATGTCACTCATGGCACATGTTCTTAACCCTTAAAATGTGTTTGTCACGTCACCACAAAGACATTTACATATGTGAAGCTTTATACATTGTATGAACATTCTTCCTTCAGGTTAGGACTGGATATGTGAAGAGCCTTTGAAAAGAATCCAGTTACTCTCTTCACTTGTGGCAAGAGTTATATAAGTAGATGTGCTATATGGTCATCCTTATTGGTAGGCTTCCTGTACACACTGAAAGAGAAGGAATAATTCTTTGGTGTCCTGCATTGACCATTTCCGTCTAGCTCATCGCAAAGTCATGCCTCTTTTAACACAACTGACCTTCAAAACTGTTTATCCTGCCTTACGCTCCTTCCTCTGAATTGGATAATTGGGGCTCCTGGTGGACTAAGTGCTTCCTTAAATATCAAACCCAGCATGTGTGTTAATTCTCATATTTCTCGATGTTAATTACCAGTTTTTACCTATAACAGCAGCCTACGTCTGTTGAAGAATTAGACACGTGCAACAACTGCATATCTTTATGATAAATTAGACACATGTGCAACTCTTTGGTATCTTTATTGAGGAAACGTTTCGCCACACAGTGGCTTCATCAGTCCATACAAAGGAGAATCGTGAAGAACAGGAGGAGAATGAGGTAATTAGTCCCTCAACCTTGAGTCGGTGTGGTCAGTGCCTAACCCCCAACTATCTTCATTGTGTAGACGTTTCGCCATCCAGTGGTTTTATCAGTGCAATACAGGAACAAAAACAGAAGACTAAGGAGGTAGAAGGTGAAGTAAGTTTACTTAGGTACAAGTAATCAGTCCCTCAGCCTAGCAGCAGGTGTCCAGTACCGTAGTCTTGATCATTACCTCAGCTTCAACCTTTTTAATCTTCTGTTATTGTCCTTGTATTGATCAAGTCGCTTGTTGGCGAAACGTCTATATAATAAAGATATCCAGTTGTTGTGTCTAATTGTTCAACTTTTCGGTATTGTATAACATTGATCTTATACGATACGATACACATAGTACATAATAACCAACAAATTGACGATAAAACACCTGGCTAAAACTAGGAATCCTTATTGATCGTCAATAAACATTCCTAGTGTTGCCCATGTGTCTAACTCTTCAACATTAGTCTATAAAAACAGATTTTAGATAACTGATACATTCTCAAATTTTTCTTGACAAGCTGGTAAAGAATAAGTATCTCTGCAGCTCCTCTAATTAATTATAGACACTCACCTGGCGGAAGTGGAGTATTGCTGGGGAGGAAGTTGAAACTGCTGATGGTGCCAACAGTGGCCGTGTAGTACTGTAGGCAGCCTTCAGGCGCTGTGAAAACACAAGTAATAATAAATTAACTACTACTACTAATACTATCAAGAAAAAGTTTTGGAGTGAGATTAATAAGTTGGGAAAAACTAGGGAACTAATGGATTTAATGGCTAAAACGAAAGGAGATATGAGATGGGGTGGGAACATTTTGAGGTGTTAAACGTTGGAAGGAGGGGAGGGAGGAGGGAGGGAGGGAGGGAGGGAGGGAGGGAGGGAGAGAGAGAGAGAGAGAGAGAGAGAGAGAGGCAGTGATTTCATGCATTGCGCAGGGAGGCATAACCTCTTTTAGGAGTTAGGAAGAGCCACATGTAAGTGTCTTGGAGGTGTATGGGGCAGTAGGGTAGAATGCAAGGTTAAAGCAGATGGGACTGATGGGTATATAAACCTGCTGATTATACTAAGTAAAGTGTGTAGTAGCATTTAAGTTAAAAATATTTAGATTTAGAATGACCATATGATAGAGTGGATAAAATATCAACGTGGTAGATGTTACAACTGTATGGAATAAGTGACAGGTTACTAAGCAGTTAAGAGTATTCACAAGGAAAGTGAGGCTCAGTTTAGAGTGTACATGTGAAGGGGAAATTATTTTCCAGTAAGAGTAGGGTTTAGACTGGAATGTGTTATGCCATAATAGTTATTTAACATATGGGGGAGATTGTTAAATATGTGAATGATAGGGTGTTGGGGAGAGATGTGGGAGGAAAGTTAGAGAATCTAATACAAAGTGGGAGTTGTCACAGATGCTTTTTGCTGATGACACTGTGCTTTTGAGAGATTCTGAAGAGAAGTTGCAGAGGTGGATGGACATATCTGGGAGGGTTCGTTAATAAAGGAAACTAAAAGTGAACATAGGAAAGAGCAGTGCGATGAGGGGTAACAAAAATATTAGGTAATAAAAGATAGGATATATTAGAGGAAGATAGTATGGAAGATGTGAATGTGTTCAGATATTTGGGAGTGGACTTGCCAGCAAATAAGTCTATAAAAGACGAGGTGAACCATCAAACTGCCAAAGGTAAAAGGAATAGTGCATTGAGGCATCTTTGTAGACAAAAGAAACTTATCCATGAAGAAAACAAACAGGGAATGTATGAGAGTATAGTGGTGGAAACACTCTTATAGGAGTGTGAAGCATGAGTGGCGAATGTTGCAGCGAGGAGGAGGAGGCTGGAGGCAATGCAGAAGTCGTGTTTGAAGGCAATGTGTGGTGAATATTATGTAGAGAATTTGTAGTCTGGAGATTAGGAGGTTTGAGGTTTTTAAAAGTATTATACAGAGGGCCGAAGAGGGTTTGTTGAGGTGGTTTGAATAGAGAGAATGAAACCAAATATGACTTGGAGGGCGTATAAATCTGCAGTGGAGGAAAGGAGGGGTGGTGGTCGTTCTAGAACGGTTGGAGGAAGAGGGTAAAGGTGGCTTTTGCATAGGAGTGGGTTGGATATCAAACAGGCAAGTGCTAGCGTGTTAGATAGGAGTGAAGGGAAGCAGATTTTATGAATTGATGTGCTGTATGAGTGTGAGCAAAGTAACATTTATGAAGGGATTCAG